TGTATCTTATACTTTAGATGGAAACTTCTTGATTCTGTAATACAGTGCCCCTGTAGTCAATCATTTTTCCCTTAAAACTTATCTTTGATCACCAAAATTACATATTTAAATGTTTTTTCCTTGAAAAAAAAATGTCTTCATGCCTAAAAATAGCTTGAATGTAACTCTACACCCTTGCCTCATTTAGTATTCGCAGTTGAATATGAATATGCAAAATAGCCCCGCCTCCACTCACTCGCACCAGCTCAGAGATCCACTGGTTGACGATCGCAAGCTGACCTGATTGGTTACAAGGTAGTTTGTGACGTCAGAAACCTGGTCGATTTCAAACCATGTTTTTGAGACTGTCTTTGGTTCGCAGAAAATACGCAGGAATGATGTTGACTTAAAGCATATTAAAATCACCACACAGACACATAAACAACATTAACAACTTGGTTATCACCACGGGGACTTAAAAAAATATGAATAAAAGGAAGTAAACACTGTAACCAACAGGGCACTCAGTAATTACACTAATTCTACATACAGCACACGGTGAACATGACATGAATATGACAGTGGCCGAATGGATAATGCGCATTGAAATCAAGGGTTTAAACTAAGTGTGGATCGTGAGCCTCCAGAGAAGCTGAACTCTCTTGTCTGCATTCAATTCACACAGACCAACCGTCACACACAGCACACGCATTCATGCAGGATACACACACTTCAGAACATCTCACAACTGGATTCAACTAAGTCTGCAAGGTTTGTGAATGTTTATTAGATATTCAAAAACTTGTTTTTTACATGTTATAAATGCATATTTGCTGAATGTTGACAGTAAATGAGAAAGTATTATAGTGTTTTCCCTGTTATTACTGATAATATAATATGCTCAGGCGTTCTCAGCGTCGTCAAAATAGAAGTCCCGCTTCAGACACATCGGCCAAACAGAATCCCTATCAGCCTGATACTGAGATTTGAACATTTTCAAATATCGGTCAACATATCGGCCTTGGCGATATATCGGTTGACTACTATAAAAAAAATGTATTCAAATAAGTTTAGAGTCAAACTGCCTTGCATTGTGTAGGCAATTGAGCAACGCAACTTAGCTATGCGCCACTTAGCACTATGAAAATGATTATAACGTGGCATGTCTATTCCACAGGTAGGGATGGGACGATTACCGGTTTCACTATAAACCACGATAAAATGTGCTGACGGTTAGTAATATTGTTCAAAATTTAATTATCATTAAAACCGTGTTTGATTATCGCGATTTTAATAACTCGATAAATCCTGTCCAGCCAGCAACAGTCTGACGCAGGCACAGCTGGCAATGATGTTTTGTTTTTTATTCGAGAAGGAATGGCGGAAGGCAGTGACCGCTCAGGAGATTTGTCAGCCTTTTAAGAGGACCAAATCTGAGGTGTGGTCATATTTTGGCTTTTTACAAAAGTCTTGAGGGAAACTTAACCGAGGATGGTCACCCTGTCTGCAGAACATGCACATAATAAGTCGCTGCAATAGAAACACTTCAAATCTGCCGAGTCGTCTTGTGTGACCATCACCCACTGTTACAGCGAACGCAAGGAAAGTTAACTTAGACCTCAATTCCAAAACTACGTCTGGGAAATAATTGGGCACAAAATATAGTTTTGAGATAAAATCTCTCTTTTTTATCTCTTTCAAATATACGTGAAGCTTCCGCGAAGAAAAGTTCGCAGCAAGTGGCTTTGAGCCAAAGACGAACGTGAAAGTCCAAACAAGAGTATTAAGAGTGACATTTAATGTATAGTAATGTATATTCATTATAGCCTACTCATTACCCCGATTTTTTTAACACATAATTACGGGGACATATTGAATTGAGATTAATATTTTAAATCTCACCCGTTTATAAATCCATTTTGTACAGAGTCCAGACAAGATGATCACAACAATATTATCAAACTCTGCATTGAAAATGAAATAATTTGTTTGTTTACAATCAAAAACGGAGACGCAAGACGGCAAGTTGTATTTGAATGAAACAAGCGCTTCCGTTGTGATACATGGATGTGTTGCGTTGCTATTGACAACGGTCATTATAAAGAAGGAAATGCCACAGAATAGAATCTTGCTTTAAAAATTGCATAGAGCTGCTTGTTTTATTTGTTGTTTGCTGATTTTTCAAATAATAAAACTTGTTGAAATGTTTTCAGTGTAAGCATCAATCTTTATTTGAACACTTTAATCTCGTTTTAACAAAACCGTGATAATATTGATAATCACGATAATTTTGGTCACTATAATCGTGATGTTAAATTTTCATACCGTCCCATTCCTATCCACAGGTTAACACAAAATAATCCCTTTTAGCCTAATAGTGAAATTGAAGAAAGAAATTGCATGTTGTGTCACAGTAAATGTAACCTTAAGCTCTTAAAGTGACAGTAGCCTAATAAACCTGCTGCTGTCTGTCATGTTCATCAAAGAGCAAAAGACAGAGAAAATCACTTGCGGCTTTTGACTGAATAACTTTTGTAACTTTAATTGCAAGCATTAATAGTATGAAGACTATCAAGTGTTATTTTACATTTGATTACTTTATTTAATTACTTTAGTATTTCATACCTGAATACTACTGTTAGACCTACCTGAAAAATTTAAAGCCACATTTATTTCATTTGTCTATTTATTCTATTGTATTTATTTGTGCTATCATTTGCAATTTCTTTATTTCGTATTTTATTACTGATGTTTACTTATGTCTTTTTTTGTAAATTTCGTTCAAAGTTTCAAATAAAGCCTCCCTGTGCTGTGTGAAAGCAATTCCAACAAAATTACCCAAATGATCAAAAAATGATGAGATCATAATAAAAATATCCATATGGCAGCATAAATGGCAGCTTTCCCCGTGGAATCAAAATGGAATATTGACATTTTTCAAGGTATTAAAGTCAGAAATTCCAGTATCGTGACAACACTACCTTACAGTGCTTTGTAGCTGAATTCTTCATTTATTAAAATGTTTCAGATTAAGTGAAAGAGGTGGTTTTCATGTTAAATAGCACTACAACATGTCCACAACATGGGGTATAGGATAAAACCATTCAAATACCTATATTCTAAAACAATAATTACCACCAAAACAAACACATTTCTAGTATATAACTGTATAGGCTTCTTGTAGCTCCACTGAATGAACTGATGAAATGCATACCTGAATGCAATGCAAGTTGCTATAAGCATAAATATAGCCGATGGTGTGGTAACAGCTCTTTCGTGTCACAGCTGTTATTTTATTGGAGATTTTACTACGGCTGGGCGATTTTTCAGATTAATTTGAATTTAATGTTTTGCCTTTTATTATTTTTAAATTGAGAAATTGCAGTTTTGAATAAATGTTAGCAAATGTTACAATTAGAAATGTTGACAACACGGCAATGATGACTAAAAAAGCAAAGTTATTAGACACGAGTTGAACGAGTTGAGCGCCGTTTCATGGTTGAGACGCTAAAAGACACGAGTGCAACAGCCAAACATGCAAACAGTGGAAAAGCAGCACAATTTAATGCCAAAACCTGTAAAGAACTACTGTATGTTTAATATTTCATGTTTGTATGATGGTGACAGGCTGAAAGGTGCTGTTATTTTGTTTTTACAAATTTGCTGTTAATAATAATAGCCTATTACTGGTGTTATACTTTTAGTCATTTTGAATGGCCTTGACTTTTTGAATTGACCTCTAAAACTCAATGTTTAGGCTACTTTTTGGCTGAGAAATATTCAGTATTTTTCATATTTTATATTATTTCTGACTATATAGGATACGTTTTAGATAAGTTTGTACAATATTTGCCTTCATATTTCATGAATATTTTCTGCAAAGATATTTAACAAAGGCATTTGTTTTACATTTACACCATGTTGTTTACTTCAGGTGTGGCGCACTTATTGGAATAGAACTTTTTTTAACCAGAAGGTTTATAAAGAGAATGAATCACTTGAATCACATTTTTAAGTTGACGAAACAAAACTATCTGTTATAAAAACAAACACTTGTAATTGATCAACCGAAAAGGGTTATGAATGGCTGCAGTCATGTATAAATATGCATTATATACACACACACATATAATTTATAGCTGTCTAATTCATTCAATACATTACTGTGAAATCCTGTGACCTGTATTTACTACAGTGGTTGTCAAAGCCTGTGAGACTTAAGACTACACAGAAAGAGTACATTATGAAGTGTCATTGATGTCACTTAATAACTGAAGCTCTCAGTGAGAATGCTCCTAATGCAAGGCAAGATTTAATACTATAACTCACACACAATCTGTGTGTCTGAGTATGCAACGTCAACTCACAGGAGTCAGGAGAGCTCAAATTCCTTAAGAAATAGATGCTCAGATGTCAGAAATCATTTTACAAATTGCACATTTCATGACGGGTAAACGCAGAGGGTTAGTTTATTGAAAAATCTGAGCATGGAATATGGGTGGTGTGGCCTAGTGGTTAAAGACCCTGCTGGTTACCAAAGGTTGTAGGTTCAACCCTGAAAACTTAAGCATGAACTATTACTTTCCCTCCTTTAACAAGAAACTGAAGCTGGTGGTTCCGGGGCCAGTGGTCCAGCAATGACTGTGTTTGTACTCCACATTGAAACGGCTAACTTTGAAATAGCAAGTATTAATACAGTTTATCGTATTATTATCGTAATTCATGAGGAAAAAAACGTGAATCAAGGTAGCTACAATCAGTAAGACTCTAGAAAAAATATTCAAATTTAAATCCAGCATCGCTTACCAAGTCTGACTTGTGATTACAGGCTGGCGCGTGCATTGCAATGTCATAAAGCATGATTACGCTGTTTTGCATATTTAATGCGCATTATTGAACTGTACTGTATGCATGCATGCATTTCAAGATTTATATTAGATTGTGCCTACCCTAGTAACAATTACGCAAACAAACTCCTTATTAAAAGCAATAACAGAGTTCCAATAAATCTGATAACTCACCAGCAGACAGTCTGTGTTGATCTCCGATTTGGGATCCTTCAGCATAGCATCGATCTTCTCGAAGCGAGCTGTCAAACTTTCTCCAGCAGACATATTCATAACTGATCCGATTCAGACGTATGAAAGAGATGTGAGTGTACTGGCTAAGGTTAGCAAATTAACTCGCCAACTTCCTCTGCCCTCACAAAGCAAGCACTAGTTTGATCAAAGCAGCGTTTTGTGTCTTACAGTCTTATTATCGCTCTCGTTGAAACGTGTACAACACGGAGAGATGACGAAAAGCCACATTTTCAAAAACAAAACAACGACAAGACAAGGTGTCGGATTAGTCCATGACAACTTGGCAAACACAAAAGCAGCAGCAGCAACAGATTATAGTGCGCTAAGCTAATTTAGCTTCAGGAGATATGTGGGGAACAAGCTCTTTTAAAACAGACGAACAGATCATATCCGCGCAAAAAAGAAGAAGGGATAAAATAAACGTTGCAGAGTTAGCATGCGGCCACATGAAATGAAGTTTCTCCAGGCCTCTGTCCATAAATGCCTGCCAGGCCAAACGAGTCTGACAGCTGCAAAGTGAGAAGTGGCGAAAAAAACTTCGCCTTACAAATTTCGATCAGTTAAAACAAGATCCTGGTTAAAACGATTCTTTACGGTTCTTCTGCAATAAACATCTCCCGAGTCCGCACGCCGGCTTCTACTTTTCCAAAATAGTATGTAATCCGCTGTGCTGTAACTGTAAGGATAGTTCAAGCTTTAATCGATGTTATTATTCAAAAAAAAAAAAAAACTGGGTGCCCGATTTTCTCCCACTGCCTGACCAACATGTCCGCCTTCCTGTTGAAACACCCCGGAGAGTCAACTTCGAAACCTCTCCGACTGCGCATGCGCAGAAGCTCTCTCGCTCTCTCTCTCTCTCATTCTCTCTCACACGCACACACTCACACACGAGTACAATGGCGGGTAGTGTGTGGTAGTAGTATCCGCTTGCAGAACGGCAGAGCCATCAGTTTCAGGACAGCAGCTCCAGGCCAGTCTCTACAAAAGCTACAGTTTAAATATGGTCATTTTTCAATTCGTACATGCATAATTAATTTATAATGAGCTTTTAAAAAAAATAGTAATCATGTTTAATGTTAATGGTTACAAACATAATTCGTTGCTCACATTGCATGAACTAGAATATACAATTTTGTATTAAAAATAAATGTTTAAACTATAACTAAGATTAACAACTACATAAACATTAACGTTTTGACATTAATTTTAACCAGTGTATAGTTAATGTAACCTATTGTAAAGTGTTTCTCATTTGACTTCTGATTGGCTGTTGGCCTGGTGTTATATAGACCACAAAAAAAAATATATATATATATATATATATATATATATATATATATATATATATATATATATATATATATATATATATATATATACATATATAAAGCCTGAAATTCAAGCTTTAATAGTTAGAAAGACATGCATAGATTCAGTATTTTAAAGTCCCCCTGTACTCAATAATTTGATCCCCTAAAAACTCATATTTGGTCACCAAAATTACATATTTAAACATGTTTACCTGGAAAAAAATTTAATCATGCCTTCCGTGAATATGAAAATTATCCCGCCTCCACTCACTCCCACCCCACTAGCTCCTGATGGGTTTGTGACGTCAGAAAAAACAGTGATTTCAAACATTTTTGAGAAGATGCTGCATCTCAATTCGCCTAAAAGTGTGTACTCTTTTTGTGAAGTAAAAGTAGATACTTTTGTGTAGCAGAAGAGTAGACAAGCTTTGGGACATCTATCACGTCATACAATTGCGTCTTTAACGGTTGCTCTGTTGCTTAGTTACACACATCCTGTCATGTAAACTGACCTGTCAATCATCTTGTCAAAAAAAATCCTCCACATTTAATTTCATTTCCTATTGTATCGAAGAGAAATGCAGAAGCACGTTGATCTGCAGTCTTTCATGCAGAAACTCTCCTCATATTAATGCATAATGATGCATTTAAAAAAGTTAACGGCCAAACGGATCTTTATTTAAAAGTATTGTTATTGCAGATGAAATTTAACACGGATAACATTAAATAAATACTTTTGTATCAGGTTAAACTTCGATTAGTCACTTAAATCTTTATCTAAACCTCTCACTGTCGGTGGCTCATAACCGCCATGTTTTGTAGTTTTTTAATACTTTTTACTCGTGTTTGTAGTTCCTCCTTCAAAGTGATATGGGTTGTGGGCAATATTAGCCGTTATGAGCACGGATCCACACTTTGAAAATCCACCGGAAATAGTAGACCATCCGTGGACTTCTGGCATACTCTTTTCAACATACTATGCTTTGGGACACACACTTATTCTAATCTCACATACTATTTAGGATGGATAGTATGGACATTGAGATGCAGGATATCTTTGGTTCACTGCAGCTTCATGGAGAAAATACTCAGCAATGGTGTTGACTTATGAATTTGCAAATGGTTTGTCTTAAAGCGTATTAAAAACACCACATAAACAAGATTAAAAACTTGATTTTCACCACAGGGGGACTTTAAATAGACAAACACTTACAGGGGTCATGACATGAGAAATTAAATTTCCTTTGATCTTTTGACATATAAGAGGTCTTTATTAAAACATCCTGCAAGTTTCAGAGCTTAAAATGTTCCCCACATTATAAACAAAGTATTTATTTAACAAAGCTCAAAAATGGTTTGTTTAGAATATATATTATGGGATCTGTGATGTCACAGGGGAAAATACATTTGCGTAAGACTGCCTTTAGAACCAGACATCAACGAAAAGTCTAGTTATACATCATACTGCATACATTATTGCACCATATGCCCCACCCACTGGGATTCCTTCGCTTAATGGCTACAACCAGTCTACAAAATCAAATAGAGCCCATTATAATCACTGACGCTGTCTAGACCGGATACAGTATACAGATGCAAACAGAACCCATTATAATCACTGACGCTGTCTACACTAGATACAGTATACAGATGCAAACAGGGCCCATTATAATCACTAACGCTGACTACACTGGATACAGTATACAGATGCAAACAGAACCCATTATAATCACTGACACTGTCTACACTGGATTCAGTATACAGATACAAACAGAACCCATTATAATCACTGATGCTGTCTACACTGGATACAGTATACAGATGCAAACAGAACCCATTATAATCACTGACGCTGTCTACACTGGATACAGTATACAGATGCAAACAGAACCCATTATAATCACTGACGCTGACTACACTGGATTCAGTATACAGATGCAAACAGAACCCATTATAATCACTGACGCTGTCTACACTGGATACAGTATACAGATGCAAACAGAACCCATTATAATCACTGACGCTGTCTACACTGGATACAGTATACAGATGCAAACAGAACCCATTATAATCACTGACACTGTCTACACTGGATTCAGTATACAGATACAAACAGAACCCATTATAATCACTGACGCTGACTACACTGGATACAGTATACAGATGCAAACAGAACCCATTATAATCACTGACGCTGACTACACTGGATTCAGTATACAGATGCAAACAGAACCCATTATAATCACTGACGCTGTCTACACTGGATACAGTATACAGATGCAAACAGAACCCATTATAATCACTGACGCTGTCTACACTGGATACAGTATACAGATGCAAACAGAACCCATTATAATCACTGACACTGTCTACACTGGATTCAGTATACAGATACAAACAGAACCCATTATAATCACTGATGCTGTCTACACTGGATACAGTGTACAGATGCAAACAGAACCCATTATAATCACTGACGCTGTCTACACTGGATACAGTATACAGATACAAACAGAACCCATTATAATCACTGACACTGTCTACACTGGATTCAGTATACAGATACAAACAGAACCCATTATAATCACTGACACTGTCTACACTGGATTCAGTATACAGATACAAACAAAACCCATTATAATCACTGATGCTGTCTACACTGGATACAGTATACAGATGCAAACAGAACCCATTATAATCACTGACGCTGTCTACACTGGATACAGTATACAGATGCAAACAGAACCCATTATAATCACTAACGCTGACTACACTGGATACAGTATACAGATGCAAACAGAACCCATTATAATCACTGACGCTGTCTACACTGGATACAGTATACAGATGCAAACAGAACCCATTATAATCACTAACGCTGACTACACTGGATACAGTATACAGATGCAAACAGAACCCATTATAATCACTGACGCTGTCTACACTGGATACAGTATACAGATGCAAACAGAACCCATTATAATCACTGACGCTGTCTACACTGGATACAGTATACAGATGCAAACAGAACCCATTATAATCACTGACACTGTACACTGGATACAGTATACAGATGCAAACAGAACCCATTATAATCACTGATGCTGTCTACACTGGATACAGTATACAGATGCAAAAAGAACCCATTATAATCACTGATGCTGACTACACTGGATACAGTATACAGATACAAACAGAACCCATTATAATCACTGACGCTGTCTACACTGGATACAGTATACAGATGCAAACAGAACCCATTATAATCACTGACGCTGTCTACACTGGATTCAGTATACAGATGCAAACAGAACCCATTATAATCACTGACGCTGACTACACTGGATACTAGGGGTGGAACGGTACACAGAAGTTACGGTTCGGTTCATACCTCGGTTAAGACGTCACGGTTCGGTATGATTTCGGTACAATGGAGTGAAAAGCAAAACAAAAATGCAGAAGGCATTTTTATAAATGTCTTAAGCCTTGTATTTTTAAAATAAGTTTTATTAATAAAGCCATAGAACCAGTTTATTTGTTGTGCACTGACAATAATAAAAAGATGAAAAGACCTTGAGATATGTTTGGTAATTGTACCTGAATGAATTTAAAATTAATTTACTATTTCAGATCAATATATTTGTTTTCCTTCATTTTAGTTAACCCTAACTTTATTCTCATCTGAATTATAAATAGTTGATTTCCGTATAAAATAATACTACCATACAAAACTTTTGTTAACAGTTGTAGGTTACAGTTCGACAAGAGTTTAGAGTGTGACAAAAGCACAATGTAGTGTTTTATTGCGAGTGTACACAAATATAAGTAACAATTTGCAGTTTTAATGATGTCCTGTATAAAAAAAATGACGGAGTATGTTTTTATGTTTCCACTGTTCGATCGCATGAGAGATTATTATCTCTCTCGCACGCGCACGCGCGCGCACACACACACACTGTTCGATCGCGCGATTCGCGCCCGCGCCTCTCTCTCTCGCACACGCGCGCGCACACACACACACACACACACACATACATACTGTTAATCGCCCCTCTCTCTCTCTCTCTCTCTCTCTCTCTCTCTCTCTCTCTCTCTCTCTCTCTCTCTCTCTCTCTCTCTCTCTCTCTCTCTCTCTCTCTCTCTCTCTCTCTCTCTCTCTCTCTCTCTCTCTCTCTCTCACACACACACACACTCCAGCACTGCAATCTTGATCACAGTCTTGATCGCAGCCTGCGTTCACAGTCACACCAAAAGCGAATAAAGCGAAATTTATCGCTATTTAAGAGTTTTTTTTTGTACCGTGTATTCTCCGTGCAAATTCGTGCACCGAACCGTGACGCCCGTACCGTTTCGGTTCGATACGAATACATGTACCGTTCCACCCCTACTGGATACAGTATGCAGATGCAAACAAAACCCATTATAATCACTGATGCTGTCTACACTGGATACAGTATACAGATGCCCGCTAAATTTGTGACATGC